TTTGAATCTTTGTTTCACAAGCTTTATTTTTTTTTATCTTTGCCTATTTATTCCCATATTATTCAGAAAGGGTGAGTTATTTCAGGGATTTGATCTTATGCATGACTATGCAGGCAGGCAGATGACAAGCCTAAGTACTAATTTACTTAGTTGTTTGGGATATGGAATGACTATATATTCAGACTGAAAACATTTGCATTGTGCCCATGTCTTCTATTGACCACTAGCTCAGATTATAGGAATTTTCTATAAAAGAAAAAAGAAGGAATATGATTATAACAGCACCAAACTGGTCCTTGATGACTTAACACATATATTGCAGGATAAAGCATCCTTAGGTCTGTTTGACTTCAGATAAGAATCACAGTTGACAACCAACCATGCAGTAACAATTCCACCTCATAGCCAAACTCAGGAATAGCCAGATGGGAAACATTCCTGTTAAAAGGAGCACAATGGGGAAACTGACCCAGAAGGATCCTATCTTAGGCCAGGCCAAGGTTGTCCTCTAGGTTTTCTCCTAGATATAGACCTCCACCTGTAACAGTTCAGGATCACATTCCCTCTGAGTATCTTGTGGCATTTCTCTTGAATGGTGGATTACTGACTTAATAATTCATCAGATAATTATACCTGAATTCAAATCTCAAAACAAAATCAGTTACAGTCGTTGAGAGCTTTTACCTCAAATGGTAAGGTTCACTAATCAGTGCTTAGGGTTGTATATAGTTATTTTTCCTCTCATGAAGTTGCAATGAGCAGTAAAATTTTTACCAGGACTTAAACATATATAAGAGATTTCACTTAACATTCTTCACCTTTTTTTTCTTCTCCAGTATAAATTTGTCCTGGTAGTAAAGACCAGTCATTAGAAATCATTTCTATATTATATATAAACTTGCAAATCCTCAGCAAGCCAAGTTCATTGTTTAGGAACTCCATAACCCAAACTAGCTCATTTCCCAGGGCTGATGACTTTGCCTCCACAGATGGTTTCCAGAACCTGGCAAGTTTATGAAAAAAGGGGAATTGACAGGGACCCCAGAAGAGACGCTGAGCTTGCTGCCTCTGCCTGCCCACACCATCTACCCTTAGAGCTGCTGTGAGCTGTGCTCTTTGACACCCCCCTCCACATGCAAGGGGGAATAAACTAACCCAGTTGCATACTCTCATACCCCAAGGTGGACTGCTCTGAATAAGCAAAACCAATCCAGATAAGGTTTTCACCTCATCTCTTCCTTTACACATGCAGTAATCAATTACCGATTTTAGATTTCAACATTATGACAATAACCCCAAATAATTTAGTTAAAACTCTTACACTTTCATAAGTGATAGCCAAATAGTTGTAGATGTAACTTCCTCTTAACTACGGACAAAGGTGGAAATAGCCAGTTCCCTAAATGGCAGTTACAAAATACTATAAAACAGGGTTGGCAGGGCTGATAAAATAACATAATTGGTTTTACACAATTTTTCCTCTGTCTTTTAGTTTCTTTCAGTTCATACTCTAATAACAACCAAATTATAAAAAGTTGCTCAACATAACTGATACAAAAGTTTACCAATTTGCACAATATAAAACATAACAAACCAGAAACAATATATGTATTTGAAACTCGAAACAAACCCATTACTGATCCAGTCTAGTTGAATGCATTTCCAAATTACCTTACACAGAAAATCAGGCATCTCATCACTATTGGCATTGTATACTGACCATATCTAAAACCCCACATAAAGTTATCAAATATGAAGCAATTACACCTAATTAAGGAACTAATAACAACAATTAACAATTATAGCTCATAGCAGGAATTGTGTTAGGCACTTTACAATCATATAAACTCAGGTAAATAGATGTGAGGTAACTTGTTTAAGGTCACCCAGTTAACAAATTTCAGATCCATGTATTATCCCAATTTGTCTTAATGCCAAATAGTATAATAAATTCTGACTTATCTTAAACATCAAATTAGGAGAGACACACTTAAAATGAGACCAGAATGAATTTAATTACACCTGGATGTATGTTCCAAATGGTATTACACAGAATCTTGGGTTATGGTTTTAATACTATAGTATTATATTTTACACGAATGCTATTTATTCCAAACATTTCATATTATGGGGTCTACTATTTCCAACCAATCCATTGCCAAAGATTGTAAAACGGGCAATGTGATATTAAGATTTAATCTACCCCAATGATCACACTAAAGAGCATATTTTAATTTAGTTCAAATCTGGGTTCCACAATCACAAAAGGAGCCCATAGCTTAACAATAGCTCTCTGTGATTTCTTCCTATATACTTCCAAATTAAGCAGCAATTTTTATTACTATGATTCCCACCAAAATAAACACATGA